CAATTTTACGAGTTTTTTAGTTTAAGTCGATCAGATTTAATGGTAATCACTCACTAAAAGATCGTCACAGACAATTAGCTTAATAACTAAAGCTTTCTTTGTTTAAACGCCGGCCAGATGCAAGCGTGTTCATTTTTAAACAAAAAATAAATCAAATAATATGATTTTTGCGATTCTCTCTAGCAAAAAAATATTCTTGCGTTAATCTAATGACGCATTCATTTCGCTCTGAAAAATGACAAGTATTTATCAGTTAGTTTGCTAAGAGCAGGGTGACTGTTGGTCAGATATACATCGATATTTATTTTTACGTAACCTTATTTAAAACGGCAATTCTTTAATCACCTCGAGAACACATAGATAATTCCATCCCGATTTTTTTCGATGAGTTCTCAATTGTGCATTGTACTTAACGGGGGCCAATTTTGCGGTTAATGGGCTAAAAGATGCAGCTGTCATTTCTAATGAATCTCACTAAACCATTAGTACTTTCCAATTATTTTCGCTGTCAGACAACTACTAGTATTGGGTTTTCCGTTTACAACTTGCTGGCATAAAAATAAAATAACATGTTACATTTAACATATAATTGCATGAAACGTTGTTAACTGAACCTCTTGGTGATCTTTGAAGGGTTAAGACTTAAGACTCGAGTTTTCTCTCTCCTTACGACAAAAAGCATCCCCTTTTTGGCATCGTCTCAGCTTGATATATGGATTCAATTAGGTTAAACGGTCTAACGATACAGAATCTTCAAATTCAATTAATTTGATAAGCCAGGAGAAATATGGCAAGTATCGCTTTATCACTTTAAAGACCCTTTGCACGTAAATTGTTGTGTGGAGGGTATTGGATTATTTAGTTTCAAGATCACTCTAAAAGCTTTCAGTCTAGACCCGATCTACTCCCAAGGAAAATTCCGCGGAGTAAAATATTTTTAACCAGCAGGGCTTACAATTGACTCCTTTTACTCGCCTACAAAGTTGAACACTTATTTCTGCGTGAAAACGGCACTTTTCGCAGCAAGCTTTTAAAAAAACTACCGGGAGACCCACGGCGATGTATGACCACTTCCCGCGTTAAGTGATACTAGTTCTAAATTATATCACACATGTTATTTTATTTTAAAAAATTGACGCTTGCAGAGATAAAGAAGGGCCGCGGTGTAGATCTTTTTGAAAAAAAGTTCAGCGTGCTGGGAGTTGTTTGATATTAAAGCGAGAACTATTCGGTATAAGTAAGCAATTTCACGGAGGTAAAAGGGGGTATGTTTTGTAAAAAACAAACTTTGGGTCATTAAAGTAACATATGAACTATAATATGAACAGACATGTTGCAATTCAGTGCATTTTCCTTTGAAGTATATAGTTGAAACTTTTAACAAACACTAAAACACTTGTCTTTATCAGGTTTTTTTGATATTTTTCTTAACTGCGAGAGAGACACCGAACATAAATTAACTCCTTTTAAGAGTTTTCTTCCTCTTTCTACGCTTTGATACTTAACAAATAAAAGACGTTTTGATTGAAAACTCTCCCAAATAGAATCGTAAATCCAGCTTTCAGCTGATCTTTCCAGGTGATGCAAAATTAGTTTGATTGAATGGCAGTCTGTTAGGACATAATGAGCTGACGAGCTTTAGTAAAAGAACCCCGCAGAGTGTAAAGGCTATCAACCTTTTTCTTTGAACTTTAAAATCAGTTAAAACCGCACTGACTTCTGATCAATTAAATGATAACATCATAGAGAATAGCAAAAGTCCGCACAAATGTTTGTGTTATGTTTAGAGTCGCTTCCATCACGTATTTTTTTAGAAACTTATTTTAGCACTTCCTCTTGGAAAACAACACAACTAAATAATAAGAGTTTCAAATCCTCTTCAGTGCAAAGTCGATATAACATTTTTCTTATACAAAGTCGCATTTACCAGCCGTTAATTTAACTTTTGAAATAAATGATCGAGATCAAATCAGTAATTTATCTAGCTTTCATGTTTAATATTATTTTATTACGCATTCACTTGCGATCCTACAAAAAGCTGCACAAACAAAAACAGAGTCATTGCAGGCAATATTATATTATCGCGGAAAGTGATGATAAAAGCTTGAAGAAATGGATTGAATTAAATGTTTGATCACTATAAAGTGTGGAAAAAATTACATTAAACACGAACGCTGAAAAAAAAATAACATTCATTTAAAGTTAGAAGAGCAATTTCCATCAATTTTCAAACCTATATCTGCGAGGTTAATTGAGGCTTAAACTTCAATAGTTACGAGTTGGGTGTTTTTTTTAATTCACATTAATATCTTATTTGATTTTCCTTGAGTAAAAATCATACAATTAAAAGGGTATAAATGTGCAAATTAGAGAAAACTTAAAGATCTTTATTTTACTTTAGATATACAGAAGAAAAATATTTGGATGTGTTTTTTTGATAATTGATTTTAGGTCATATTATTTCGTAAAGCTAGAATAAAATAATTGGAAAGGTAGAGAAGTAAATACGGAATTTATTTTACAAAGCCTAGATCAATACGACCGCGGAGCGATTGTCCCTCATCTTCTACCACGTATCACAAATACAAAGCAATTTATCTTTCTCTTTCCGCTTTATTTAAATATTTTTTAAAACCGTCCCCAATAATTATTAAAAGCTTAATCTTTAATCTCACATCTTGAAAATAATTTCGGGCAGTTTTGTGAATCAATCTTAGTCTTGCCAAGAAATCATAATTTTCAAAATCTGGAAAACGACCTCTTTTTCAAATTAGTATCTTCTTGATATGCCAATAAAAAGGAAATTGTTTAATTTTCTTTTTGAATTTAACCCTATAGACTCCAGCAAAATCAAACAATTTACCCTCAGGAATAATCAAATCTAGCAACTTAGCTTTGCAAACTTGCATTCGATTCTTTGCCGGCGTGATAAACCTCCGATACAATACGGCAAGCTGAAAAACTGAGTATGGATTTCTTGGTTTTGACAAACCAGCCGACAGAACTTTTAAGTTAGTCAGGTCGGGTCACTTAATGATTATTGGTAATTCATGGAAGTATAATGCTAAAAAAATGTCTGTAAAATTATAAAAAGAGGTGAAATTTCCGTTTGGGCAATTTTGCGTCAATAAATAATAAAAAGCTTCCGACATAAATTGGTAAATTTACTTTTTCCGCCCCGTAGGCAGTTCAAAACATTCGGGCCATTAAGGGGAAACTTTTTTGTAGCCTTTTATTCGAAAGGATATTGTGTTTCTCTTTTCTCGTTGTTAGAAAGAATATCGGGGGAACGTTTTCTGTTTTTTAGGCGTGGAATGGCTATAAACAAGGATTTCTCGTAAACACAAAAACGGAAATAAGCATATTAAACGAAAAGTGTTGTATTGACAAATTTAAAACAAAGTCCTCCATTTTTAATTAGCAGATTAGGAGATGTCCATTAAGTAAATGAAATATCTAAATAAACTCTGTTTCAGTTGATGACTTGAATATAGACTTATTACCCTTTACGAAGGGATCATTTTCGAGAAGGCAAATACAGTATTAAGAAATGGCACGATTTAAAGTATTCGTATCTCGAAAAGAAACTTCAAAATATGTTGCTTTGGAGCTGAATCGAGATAAAAGAAAATAGCACTTCACTGGGTTAGCTAAGAAAAATATGAGAAAAGGTATTCATAAAAGTATTTATGTTATAAATCCATAGTGGAATTATAATCAACGGTTTTAAACTATTGTGACCAAGTTCTGAAAGTTGTACGGCGCCATAAGTCGCGAGAAGGCGTGTTAAATTGAGATGTTTATTTTGCGAGATTTACTTCGAGTTAGTAAATGCTTATGCGCTGTTGGCTGAAAGGTTCTCGTTTTTCGCTTGCAAATGGCACAAGATAATTGTTATGAAGTGCATAAATACAATAAAATGAGGCGAAAATTGCTGTAATCATCCTTAAATGTCCATTGTACCTTCTTACAGCTGTACCATCTGCGTCAAAAAAAGCCAATCAGATGAAGAAATCGATCTCACCTGGCCAATTCCACCAATCGGAACTGCTGGTTTTCGCGTCACAAACGCACTAAAACGTTATGAAAACAATCGCAAAAGTATCTTGTTTTTAATTCCTTCTTTTCATGAAAAGCGCAATTTGCATCAAGTGATACCCACACAATTGTTTCTGCTCAAGCGACTTTCATTTTGAGCTTAAAAGGGTATAAATCGTTCTATATGTAATAAAACAAACGGTGGGAAAACACTTACTCACATTCGCTAATTTCTGCATTCCTATCATGAATATGTACTAAATAAAAGTTTAAAGATAAAGATAGTATCTTAACTTAATATATCATTTTTTGACGCCTGGAATTGAACAATAACACTCCAGTATTAGAAATAAGTGCCATGGGATACCAATAATCTTTGTTAATAAATAAGTCTCGGAATAATGAACCATAATCATTGTCTTCGTGGCCCATGGTGAATAGCGCGCAAAAGATCCCATCATATCGATAAAAGGCTCCTTTTGAATTTCCTGTCCACATAAAACGTCCTTTCTCAAACTGAGCATACATATTTCCCATCGCATAAGAAGGCAACAAACAGGTTCCCAGAAGCCAGTATGCAGAATTCCTCAGCGTTTAGCGTCGATTCCTTAATGGGGAAGAAATCCCTCGACCCTAAGACAGCTGATCTGGAGAAAGAGAACGAACGAAAGTCGGCATTTTCTGTGGCTCCGCCATTGCCAAAGCGTGAGTTTCCTCCGAGTGTATGTCACTGCCAACCCTGTCAGCAAACAGCCGTATCAGGTTACACCGCCATTAGCCAGCCTGTACCACCAGAGCCACGCTTCATGCCCTTGCAATCCATGGCAGGCGCTGTTTCAGTGCCTCCCTCAGTTTATCTGCCTAAAAGTAAGTAACCTTTTTCTACTTGTAAAGCGATTTCTTCTTACCATTTTCCGTCCGTTTTCACTGCACACGAAGCTCTTAAACTAGTCTTTAAACAAAGAATCAATACATTTCTTTTCTCAATGAAAGTTCTCTACAACCGTTTCAGGTTTTAAAACATGAACCCCCCAAAATTCTTTCTGTTCTTTCATTTTACTCTTAAAACAACGTCTTCAAGTGTCCTTTCGCGTTGTCATGAAAGTGGCCGGTTTTACTTTTGCTAGGTAAGGTTAATTTTTAGTTCCGCTCGAGTTGCCAACGGCGCAATAAAAGAATATACTATGTGTATCAAATTGGATTTTTATAACCAGACACTCTTTTTTTGTCAGTACATTTGCAAAACGCTGTCTTTTTTTGCCTGTTTCTTTTCTCAGTAATAGAAAAACGACATTCAATACAAGAAATGAACCAAGAAACAAAAAATATACCATTTTTTCGTTGGAAAATAAAGTTGGAAAATAAAGTTAAAAATTCTGGGTACATTTTATCTTAACATGAAAAAACCATTCTATATTCTCTCTATTTTACCTTAGTAGTCATCTTTAGGAAACAATCTTAATGAATTAAACGAGAATGTATTTTGTTTCTACACTTTTTCTAATCTAGCCTTTTCAGTGCACTAACGATTTTTTTACATTTCTGATTAATTGGTCATAGACTAAATATGAAAGAATAAAACTGGACTACAAATTATAAGCAAGAAATTACGGGCACTATCGGCTGCTTTCTTTAATTTGCCAACTGTATATATCGCTAAGTTAAACGTTAAATTGTTCGTTTATCACAATCATTGGCCTAACCGATACACGAAACCAAAAGCCTACTAAATGAGATGTAGCTCCATAATCAACCCTTTTTACTTGAATGTATATCTAGTTTAATCGAACATTTTATTGAGAGCACTTGATTTTGAAGTGAGAGCTTCAGTATTTTGTAGATTTTGCGATCAAACTGCTTTAAAGTTTGTAATTTTTGGTCTCACAGAATTTTCTTAGGGTGTGGTTTAGGCTAAAAATATTAATTCTAAGGTATCATTTCTGAAAATAGTCTTACGAATGAGAATTTTGTTGTGATTTCTTGAATGCCTCGAATTCTAACTGCAAAATCCGGTAAGTTAACGTCTTTTTAACTCTCCTGAACATTACATATGCCCCAAAGGTTTCCACAAAGATTTCAGAACCGTCCTCAGCCCACTCGAACAGTCAGAAAACGAGTTTAACAGCTCTCATCAATAAAATTTCATCTTAATTTTAATCGCGTCTAAAAGCACAGGAAACGGGCGAGCAATCAAACGGTTAGTTTAACAGTTGGACTCCCGGTAACGCGAAATTTATATAGTGTATTCTAATTGTTTCAAAAGTGTATGTTACAGGAATTTCACGGTCATTTAAGTTCAAAGTTCTTAGAGTGTTTGACTAACATCGATAACTGATCGATTTTATGCCTCAAAGCCATGATTTTAATCTTTGAGTGTCTAATATAGATGCTACATTTTGATCCAACTTAAAGGTTATACTGACAAAACGGTGCGTTATATTTGAGGTCAATCGTTTCACGTAAACATAGCAATTACTGGGATAGTCAAGAAAAAGAAACAACTCTTTCTGATTCCCCTTTTCGTTAAAGAATAGTCTTTGCATCCTGAGAACAGTTTTAAAGATGACAGATGACGCAATGACGTCTTGTTTTTAATTCCAAGGTCAGGAAGGGACGGTTTTGTTTGTAAAAAAGACTCTTTATCGGGTTTCTGCGCGCTTTCTTAAAGAACCATTAACGCGCGTGCTTGTAAACAAAAGCGAACACACACCGTTTCTCATCGATATAATTAAGTGGCGACTTTTTGTTGTTTCTCTCCTTGTTTTACTGTAGATAATGGAAAGTTGAAAATTNTAGTAGTCATCTTTAGGAAACAATCTTAATGAATTAAACGAGAATGTGTTTTGTTTCTACACTTTTTCTAATCTAGCCTTTTCAGTGCACTAACGATTTTTTTACATTTCTGATTAATTGGTCATAGACTAAATATGAAAGAATAAAACTGGACTACAAATTATAAGCAAGAAATTACGGGCACTATCGGCTGCTTTCTTTAATTTGCCAACTGTATATATCGCTAAGTTAAACGTTAAATTGTTCGTTTATCACAATCATTGGCCTAACCGATACACGAAACCAAAAGCCTACTAAATGAGATGTAGCTCCATAATCAACCCTTTTTACTTGAATGTATATCTAGTTTAATCGAACATTTTATTGAGAGCACTTGATTTTGAAGTGAGAGCTTCAGTATTTTGTAGATTTTGCGATCAAACTGCTTTAAAGTTTGTAATTTTTGGTCTCACAGAATTTTCTTAGGGTGTGGTTTAGGCTAAAAATATTAATTCTAAGGTATCATTTCTGAAAATAGTCTTACGAATGAGAATTTTGTTGTGATTTCTTGAATGCCTCGAATTCTAACTGCAAAATCCGGTAAGTTAACGTCTTTTTAACTCTCCTGAACATTACATATGCCCCAAAGGTTTCCACAAAGATTTCAGAACCGTCCTCAGCCCACTCGAACAGTCAGAAAACGAGTTTAACAGCTCTCATCAATAAAATTTCATCTTAATTTTAATCGCGTCTAAAAGCACAGGAAACGGGCGAGCAATCAAACGGTTAGTTTAACAGTTGGACTCCCGGTAACGCGAAATTTATATAGTGTATTCTAATTGTTTCAAAAGTGTATGTTACAGGAATTTCACGGTCATTTAAGTTCAAAGTTTTTAGAGTGTTTGACTAACATCGATAACTGATCGATTTTATGCCTCAAAGCCATGATTTTAATCTTTGAGTGTCTAATATAGATGCTACATTTTGATCCAACTTAAAGGTTATACTGACAAAACGGTGCGTTATATTTGAGGTCAATCGTTTCACGTAAACATAGCAATTACTGGGATAGTCAAGAAAAAGAAACAACTCTTTCTGATTCCCCTTTTCGTTAAAGAATAGTCTTTGCATCCTGAGAACAGTTTTAAAGATGACAGATGACGCAATGACGTCTTGTTTTTAATTCCAAGGTCAGGAAGGGACGGTTTTGTTTGTAAAAAAGACTCTTTATCGGGTTTCTGCGCGCTTTCTTAAAGAACCATTAACGCGCGTGCTTGTAAACAAAAGCGAACACACACCGTTTCTCATCGATATAATTAAGTGGCGACTTTTTGTTGTTTCTCTCCTTGTTTTACTGTAGATAATGGAAAGTTGAAAATTGTTAATGGGCAGCTCATTATGGGAAAAACATGTTAAATTTTTCACAGCTTTCGCGGATGATGGCAAGCTACTTAATAGGTTAAAAGTTATAGGCAACACACTAATAGCATTTGTTCCATCTAATTATTGTATCGTTTCCCCTATACTTGAAACAAACAGATTCTTCGTCTTTCTTCTCGATATTAAGCCCCTTAATTTTCCCTGTATTGGACAATAGTCCCAAAGAGCTCTCACTGTTTTTACATTTCCGGATGCAAAANATCTTAATTTTAATCGCGTCTAAAAGCACAGGAAACGGGCGAGCAATCAAACGGTTAGTTTAACAGTTGGACTCCCGGTAACGCGAAATTTATATAGTGTATTCTAATTGTTTCAAAAGTGTATGTTACAGGAATTTCACGGTCATTTAAGTTCAAAGTTCTTAGAGTGTTTGACTAACATCGATAACTGATCGATTTTATGCCTCAAAGCCATGATTTTAATCTTTGAGTGTCTAATATAGATGCTACATTTTGATCCAACTTAAAGGTTATACTGACAAAACGGTGCGTTATATTTGAGGTCAATCGTTTCACGTAAACATAGCAATTACTGGGATAGTCAAGAAAAAGAAACAACTCTTTCTGATTCCCCTTTTCGTTAAAGAATAGTCTTTGCATCCTGAGAACAGTTTTAAAGATGACAGATGACGCAATGACGTCTTGTTTTTAATTCCAAGGTCAGGAAGGGACGGTTTTGTTTGTAAAAAAGACTCTTTATCGGGTTTCTGCGCGCTTTCTTAAAGAACCATTAACGCGCGTGCTTGTAAACAAAAGCGAACACACACCGTTTCTCATCGATATAATTAAGTGGCGACTTTTTGTTGTTTCTCTCCTTGTTTTACTGTAGATAATGGAAAGTTGAAAATTGTTAATGGGCAGCTCATTATGGGAAAAACATGTTAAATTTTTCACAGATTTCACCGAAGGCGGCAAGCTACTTAATAGGTTAAAAGTTATAGGCAACACACTAATAGCATTTGTTCCATCTAATTATTGTATCGTTTCCCCTATACTTGAAACAAACAGATTCTTCGTCTTTCTTCTCGATATTAAGCCCCTTAATTTTCCCTGTATTGGACAATAGTCCCAAAGAGCTCTCACTGTTTTTACATTTCCGGATGCAAAAACTTTCCACTGGAACATATTTTCCAATTCCCACATTATAAACGAAAAATCTGTTGAAACCATTTGATTCTTCCTAATGTGACACGCTTAAAAATTTTCAGAAAATAGAGTTCAGATTAGGTTCAGTTTTAAGCAAGGAAAGTTATTGCTTCAAGTTCCGGACTGTCATACGAAAAGCTGAAACGATCATTTAGTGTTTAATTGTCAATGAACAAGAGAGGATAACTTAGTAAATAAAGTTTTTTGGCTTTTTGATACAAGAGTCAAAACAAAATCATTAACTAACTTTCGAACTTAGATTATAGATTACTCCTTCTCGAGTGAACAGTTTCCTTCAAAAGCTCTTTCTCTCCCTCTCTATTTTCTTTCGTCTTATCTGTTTTTATTTTCGTGTATTTTCTTTTCCCTGTTGGATTCTTTCCTTCCCTTCTTCTTGTCGTTAGCTTCTGCCTCGCGAGGTTCTGCGATTTACGTATTTCTAGTAAAGAGAGGGCAAGAGAGAATTCCGCTTTCTCAGGGAGGAGCAACACTTTTAGATGAGAAAACCGATAACGTGAGGCCATGTCACGCCCGGTTGTCTAGTTCATTTTGTTATTAATGTTAATTGGGCGTCCTTCTTCCCTAGGAACTTGAGAAACCAGTTACTTGTGAATGACAAAATCATTACATCTTTCTTGTACAGCAAATATGTCTCCCACGCGTTATAAAGAACGTTACATACAACAAAGATGACCCCTTGAAAAAAATGTTGGGCTCTAACATCTTTTTAAAAAAAACGAAAATTGCAATCCGTTTCAATCTTCCTAAAGTTTGTCCATCTGTGTCTCCTATTGTATTTGCTGTGTTATTTACAGGAGTTATTTTTATTTTTTTACTCAGTTCGGTGGTTTTAACAGATTTTTCGTTTATAATGTGGGAATTGGAAAATATGTTCCAGTGGAAAGGTTTTGCTGATAAGTTTCGTGAGACAGCAGAACAGCTGAATGCAAGGGCGAAGGTCTATCTCAATGGGGTAAAAAATACATCATCAGTCGTCAAAAGGCCTAAAATTTAACCGTTAACCGTCGAAAAAGGTAATTTTTCACCGTCAACTGTGAAAAATGAAGAATAATATTTATCGTAAAAATTTTTCTAGGTATTTCAAATATCAGAATTTCAGCTGATCTTCACGGACTTCTAACTCCTCATGAATCTCTAAAGCGGGAAAAACAGTCTCCATGTTCTCAGAAACACACTCTGGACGTAACAAAACCTTAAAAACTTCGGCTTATATTTAATTATATTTCGAATTTCTATAAGTGAAAGGCCAAGATAACCTTCAATACACAACAGTTAAATTAAACCGTCAATCGTCAAAATTGGCAAAAATGAACCGACAACCTTTAAAGCTACCACCCCATTGAGACACTCAAGGATGTTTCTGTGATCCAGTACTCTTATATACCTTTATAGCCATAGCAAGAGTTACAAAGACTTTACGTTATCGGATTTTGCAGTTAAAATTCGAGGCATTCAAGAAATCACAACAAAATTCTCATTCGTAAGACTATTTTCAGAAATGATACCTTAGAATTAATATTTTCAATTATCGCAGGACGTCTTACGTTTATATGTGAGTCGAGCTTCTGTCATTATGTTGGGTTTCGACCGTGTTCGGAGGCAGTTTCTCTGAGTTCTTCGGTTTTCTCCACTGACGGTAACCCCCCGGGGACACTCCCTTATTTGGCCTAAAAGGGTTTGTGGCACTGAACAGGGTATTGCATGGTTTTCAGGGTATTTTAGGCTTACCTCTAGCCAAACTTCTTTTGAACGCCCCACCCCCTCCACCACTACTACCAACACCGGAGTAAACCTCATCTAAACCCTGTTATCGTGCTTACTTAATTTACCGCTTACCGACTCACCGACTTTGATTCAAGCAGACTTAAATTTTCTATTTCAGCTCCTCAAAGACGCAAGAGAAAAGAAAGCAAGTCGAGACGTCAGCGAACAACCTTTACCAGCGAGCAAACACTAAAACTCGAGCTCGAATTCCATCAGAACGAGTACATAACACGCTCGAGACGTTTCGAACTCGCCGCTTGTCTCAGCTTAACGGAAACACAGGTGAAAATATGGTTTCAAAATCGCCGCGCAAAAGACAAGCGATTGGAAAAAGCTCAAATGGACCAGCAGCTAAGAATAGCAAGTTACGCAGCCGGTGCTGGAATCACATATCCCCCTTCTTACTTCAATTACTACTCTACCCACTATTACAAGAACAATCCCAGCGTTCCACAGGTGCCTGGTTCTATCGGCCAAAGAGTTGTCTAAGTCTTGGGACTTAATGTTTGAACAGTGACTTCAAATGTAAATTTGGCAAATTGTGGGAAGTTTTCGTCTTAAACCAAAGTGAATTCCTTTCTCTATCAATTGTCCATCAGGGAATTCCTTCTGGGTTAAACAACTCATTTATGAGAGGCATTTTTGGTGACCGCATCCCTCTCTCCTACGTTAAACTGAATCGTTAACCCTTCCCTCTAATTCTCTGTTTAAATGAGGTGAGACGGCCCTGTTAACTGGTCTGGTCCGGCTCATTCCTTGTTTCTTCTTAAAGTTTTCGTTGTGTTTCGTTGTGTTTATTTAGGGAGGGGCGTGTGCTGTCCTGCTTGCCGAGATCTCGGCTCGAACTCGAACATCCGGGGATCTAGGCAAACCAGGCCAGCCCGCCTTCTCGTACAAACACAACGAAATTTTACGGGGAAACAAGGCATCGGCCGTCTCACCTCATATACGCCACTTGCACATCTCCCATAATGAACCTTATTTGCCCCCCAAAATTTTGCATAAGCATTGTTTTCAATTTCTCTAGGGAAGGCTGTAACAATCAGGAGAATATGACGAAGAACGTGCTCTAAAAATAATTTACGAAAGAAACAAGAGTTTTCAAAGCAAAGAATTACAAACAAACAAACAAACAAACAAAAAAAGAGAGAAGAGAGACAAAAACTGAAAAGTTGAACAATCGAAAAATTTTTGAGATCATAGCCTTTTTAGAGCACGTATTTGGCCAAAAATTAATCTAGGTTTGTACGTAGTGAATGATAGTTGTTTTTTATTCGGAATCGCAGTTTTTAGTTTCGATCGATAATTTGGCGCGAGATTGTCCCTTTCAACAATTACTTGATAGATATCACTCATAAAATGTGTAAATATTATGAAGATTGTATGGCCAGAATTATTCGCTTCATGTATTCTGAAGTATTGCCAGTTATATTGTAAAATATCATTTCAATTAACACGAAAATGACAGTTTTCGACTAAGTTCACACGGCATCAGACAAATATTCGACCAGTTGAAAATTCGGAAACAGTTCGTTTCGATACAAAGTCAGACGTTTCGTTACGAACTCAAGCAGTTAAACTACACAAAAATTTCGATCACTTCAAGAAAAGTTTGCAATAGAAAAACATTTTGGGTGAACATTCTTCGTTCTTTAAGCCAAGTACGTGAAACTATTTACATCTCGAAGACTTTGAAGGAATTAACTTGTATCGAAACGACCGGTAACCGAAAATTCGACCTAAACCGTACGAGAATTTAGACGCCTAGCCGTTCAAAGTTCAGTGTAAACAGAGCGAAATTATGGAATAGCTTCGTGTGAACAAAGTAGCCGGTCAAATTTTTCAACCGGTTGAAAATCCGTCCGTCGCCGTGCTAACGTAGCCTTCGTTTTGTACACACTGTATATTAAAACAAAAAAGATGTTACACAAAAGTGTCGAAGAACTGCGATTATTTGAATGCGTATAGATAAACCTGTACGTTAAACAGCCATACCTGCTTAGTCCCGAGGTGTCCCTTCTTTCCTCCTTGTTAAATTAAGCGGCGTGCATTGTGCATCGTGCAGACTTCTTGCTCTCTCTGTTTGGTAGCCATCTTGCTTTTAGCTCCGCACTAATCAAAGTGGCTATGAGCCCATGAAGGTGGGAAATAATATATTGATAATGGTCCCGTTTCGCGTTTACTACGACTACATCCTCAGTGGTTTTGTTTACCGGCCTGCTGCAAGTTTTCGAAGCACCCACGATGAAACTTTCCTGCACAACAAATAAAATGTGGCTCATCCTGAGTGTAAAAACCTGTAAAACTCACAGTTGACGTAAAACAAAGAAAGCAAAGAAGTCGTCACAATCGAACCTAGGAGAACAAAAGATGAGAAACAAAGAAAAAGTTCACAAGTTCCTACACTGAGGTAAACTCTAATGGTGGATTCATTTGCAACATACGCGTATAGCTGTCGCATTTCTCTGCCTTTTGAAAGTTTTTATTGTTTTTAAGCCTAAAAACAATAAAAAATTCCAACAGGCAAATGCGACAGCTATACGCGTATGTTGCAAATGAATCCAGCCTGAAAAGGTTGTGTATGAGCCCATTCCTTTTACAAACATTATTTTTATTACAAATTGGCAACGAGTGATAAAATAGAATGGTCTGTTTCCGGAACCCATACGCTTCAGGTTGGAAATAGTGATATCAGCGTACGTGGGTATCGCCACTTTTACTTCATGTGTAAACCAGCAGTGAATTATCAGCTCAACTTTTACCTTCTCTTTGCTGGTTTCCGATGAAAATGGAGCAAGGTTCTTTGACGAGTCACAAAGCAGAGCAATGTAGGCCAGAGCAGTGGCGAAATTTTTCCCAGGAATCCAACAGCTCATTTTCTAGTTCGAAAAACTCTTACTTTCAAAATAAGGCTCAGTGCGAAACCTTTCTTATGAAAATAAGTTTTATTTGCATGAGAATAAAAAAAATATTTTCATATCAATAGATTCGCACGTAGCCTCGCTTTGAAACAGAGGCTTGGGGCAACTCGAAAATGGGCCATTGTGTTCTTTCACTATGACATCATTTGACTTAATGTACCAGAGTTCGCTTCCTTTTCACTTTCTCATTACAGTTTAGTAACAATAACCTGAAGGATTATGGTACTTCTAGTCAAATGATGTCATTGTACAAACGACCCATTCCCTACTATAGAGAGTATAGGAGGAATGGGTACAAACTTTCGGCGCAAAGATTTCTGGCATCGTTTGGGTTGTCAAGAGTTAGTTATGATCGGTCGATGACATTTAAGGTAACCATTTACCAATCATAAGTAACGCTTGTCCACCTCGGGAAATGATTCCAGAAATCGTTGCGCCGAAAGCTTGCCATTCCCCCCTATAACTTCTGGAGTCGCAAATTAAGGGCGCTTTCCATTTGTCACAACTGACCGGCCAGCCCATTCCCATCGTAATACGAATTTCACTTTTGATTAAAACTAACCATCCAGATCAGTCAAATCCTAAACATTATACACAAAGGAGATGGTTTTTCAGCAAAACCTCTTGAAAAAATCCTATTTCATTGCCAAAATGTCTGGTCCGGCCGGCGAGTTCTTACTTTTGGAAAGCGCCCTATGACCGATCAAACGCTTTGCTAAATATCTTATGCAACTATAAAATATTTCAGTAAAATGATAGTATACATGTTCCGATAACAAACATTAGTGAAATCCAACTAGTGGTGTATTATCAATGCTGCGTTCTGATTGGTTGAGCAGCTACTATATGTTATAACCCACCAGTAACGAAAAGCGCCGGTTTTGAAACCCAAAACAACGACGGCTGAATGGCGTTTTTCTAGCTTAAGTTATTTTGTGTCGATATTTTTGACCAACTAATTGGATTTTACTAAAACAATTATCCACCCCCTCATTCGGCCTTCGGTCTCATGCGTTATTGACTCAGAGCCCATTCGGGCTCGAGAAGTAATTGTTAATTACATAACTCAAAGAAGTACACTCCAATTTAGTCTCTCTTTATTTTATCGTCTTTCAGACTTACAATAATAAAAAAATGCCTGATTTTCTTTATAAATAATATGGAAATCGGAAAACAAAATGCCAGCTGTGCTCGAGCAAGGCGAACCATCCTCTGCGATGTGAGCAGTTCACGCAATATTTTCTCTGCTACAGCTATGTGCTATTTTCTCCGGCGACTAGTGTTCCTTACGGATAATACAGCTCGCGTTGCAAGTGAAATAAAGCTTGTAGCACAATTTTCCGCTTCAGAAACTCTCTAGGGAGAATGGGTACAAGCTTTGGGTGCAGTGACTACCGGGATCTTTTGGATGGAAAAGTGTTAGTTATGATTGGTCGATGTTATTCAAGGAGGCCATTAACCAATCACAAGCAAAGCTTGTGTACCGAAACGATCCCAGGAATCATTGCGCCGAACGCTTGTACCCATTCCCCTTGTAGTTTTCGGAGAGAGGAACGGAGCTTTGACACACATATGACGTATACCTTCTACGTTCTGGAACTTTTTTCAAAAGCCCCAGATATTATTATGCCGCACACGAAATCAGTTAGCAGGATGTAGAAACCTGTAGTAAGGTGCTCTTCACTAAACAATTACTTGTACGCACAACCAAGTTGAACTGTATAAACCAAGCCTAGTTCACACATCTTTGGCGCAAAACGTCCTTTTTTCTTTGATTTTAAAAATAAACTACTGTTGTAGGTCAGTCTTGTTTATCAAAGGCTGGACTGCAAAACAGTCTCCTTTTTTTTTCTTCTCAAAATCGCTTTTTCAAGGCGCGAAACGCCGTCGGGTCAGAGTCGGCTTACACACGCGAGTTCACCCTCGCAGTTTTCGCGTCTTTCCCCAGTCACAGTCTTCGTTTTCAGCCTCGATCCAGACCATTCCTTTGACGGTTCACGCATCCTTGACTACGCTATAAATACGAACTATTGTTTTGTAGTCTAATCAAAGACTTGCATGGGGTTTATCCGTTTTTGGAACTTCTTGCTCGACAGTGACGCCGCTGAGGTAGCCAGACGAATACCGTAGGCTCCTTTTGCGTCTTTCAATCGATTCTCGATCGGTTTTACCAAACTCTTCTTCGAGTCGTCGGCGAGAACGACGCGACTTTCTGCGTGAGGAATCCATGGCAGGATCTTTAGGATCGATGGAGTGATCTTCTTCAAATGGGGTTAACTTCTAGGGAGAAACGCAACGAGTATTAAGACTGGACGTTATGTCCTTGGAGATACTGTAGGCCATACGCAAAAATGGCCTCAGTAGTTCATATTCTTTTGTTCATATTCAAGTCAGCCTTACTAGCCTCGTTCTTAAGTACAAAATTCAAAAGAACACCTTATCTCAAACGTGGTCGAGTCAGGCTAATTTTAATTACAACAAAAGAATATTAACCCAGCAGCCACTTTTGCACTGGGTCCATGTGGTTTGCATAGTCCTCGATTAGGTGGCCGGTTCAGTCAAGACCAA